TCACACATGTCCTTTAACACTTCTGTGACATGAGTTTGATAACTGGATGGTTAAATACTCAATACTGAATGGTTAAAACAATTCTATTTTATACATGCACGTACATGGAGTAAATATCTCTCAGACACCCGGAGACCAGCAGGCATTGCGAGCAGATGCAGTATTGAAAGTTTGTCGATCAAACCAATTTAGAACAAGCTAGATATGATAACTGCCCAAATCAATTACTCATAAGATTTGCATGCGGCTTGTTATGCTCGTAGCAAAATATCCATGATGCTATTATACAGGGCGTATCCAACTTTGGCATGCTACCGTGAATTATACTGTATATTACATTCAACCATTTACTTTTCTCATACCAACAAAGATCAAGCTTTTAGCTGTCGAATGATACCTTTCTTGCATCATTGCGATCAAAAGTAGCCAAATAAGATGCGATCCAAAGTGTCACTCGAAATCGCATTTTTCCACCGATCCGAATTGCTGAACAAGGTGTATAAAAAGCAGGTAGTCCAACTTTGACAGGTTATTGCGTGTTAATTATTACGATTATAGGTTCTCTGTTTTCGTATTTATAAAGATCAGGCTTCTAGCTGTCAAATGACACCTTTATAGAATCATTGAGATAAAAAAGATCAAATACGATCTGATTTAATGTGGTTGGTTGAAACTGCATTTTTCCACTTTTACAGTTTTAGGATTTAATGTTTTCCAATTTTCGAACATTTGCCCAAACGCTTGTTGCCCATTTGGGAAACGTATGGTATTGCGAGTTCAGTTTGCAAACTTCCAGTTCTTGAAAATATTTTAACCAGTCAATATCGATGCAAAATTGCGAGTGGAAATTTACCAAAACATGATACTTACACATGCGTTGCGCCATTTTGATTCATGCGACTTAAATTTGAATTCCAAATGTCTATTCGAAAATCAAAACCTTGGATTATACATGTCGGCAACTATGCTTTGATCCTGAAAAAATCACAAAGCTTTTAGCTCAGGTCTTTGCAAACTCAACATCATGTGCAGTTGAGCACTACATATATAGTAGAGTACTTAATAACTCTTAAGTTTAGGAATTATATTTCTATTTATTAATTTGTCACTATTACCACTATTCTATTTACAAAAGAACTATTAAACGAAAAAAATAAATAAAGGAATGATTATAAAAAGATAAGTAATGTGATAATGACAAGAAGGCAATTCAAGGCATGTCTCCTTGAGCATAAAATTTGGATATAATTAAGGCCAAGTAAAAAAAATAGTAGTTTCTCGTCCGAATTTTGAAAAAAAGGAGAATGCGGGCGCTTTTTTTTTTGTTAAACCTTCAAATATTGCTCTTAAAGTTTACCAAATAGCCTATAAACACACGCAAATATTAAAGTTTACTCACAAAACGTAAATATATTAAAATAGACAAACAGCTACTAATGCAATTTGGCGCCAAAATAACAATATGGCGCCAAAATAACAATATGGCGCCAAAACAACAATATGGCGCCAAAATAACAATATGGCGCCAAAATAACAATATGGCGCCAAAATAACAATATGGCGCCAAAATAACAATATGGCGCCAAAATAACAATATGGCGCCAAAATAACAATATGGCGCCAAAATAACAATATGGCGCCAAAATAACAATATGGCGCGAAGTACCGAACAGCAAGCTAGAGTTGACGAAACTTTTCGAACAGCAACCGAACTATGCCGAAAGGAGCAAAATGGCCGAAATATACTAGGTGGAAATTCTTTGAAAGGCTCGAATATAAAACATAAAAAAAAATCCATGCGGCAGGGAAAAAGGATGCGGGCGGTTTTTACTTGGCCTAATAAACATTCACATACGTAAACACTGCTAATCCCAAGAGGGGAATCCAATCCCGATTCGCCTCCAAAGACAAGCAGTTCATGTATTCTATTCCTGAAGCAATTCAACGTCTCGGCATTTCTAACTTTATCTGGGAGAGAACACCAGAGTTTAGACTGTTTTATGTTAGTTCTACAAACATGTGATCGATATAGACTATATAGCGTTTCTTGTGTTGTATTGATGAATTCGGTTACTAGTATAATAAATACGTTGTGAAAAGATGAAGGTAGTAGCTTGTTAGTATAGGTAATAGCATGGTTTCGAGTGCAATTTGGATATAACATGCACGAGTGAGTTTTTCAAAGACCTCAAAATAGCACGAGTCCGAAGGACGAGTGCTATTTGAGGTCTTGGAAAAACTCACGAGTGCATGTTTATCCAAATTTCACGAGAAACCATGCTATTACTTATTAATAATTTACATAAAAATGTTCGAGACAATTGTAGTTTTAACTTACGCGTTTATAGCGAACATTCCACTGGCAAAGTTTTCCTGGCCAAATTATATCACATTATACAACGCTAACAGCTTGAAAATTCCACTCAACTATGTAATTTTTGTTAGTCCTGTTTAAGGTAAATGCTTTTCCATTTAAAAATAAAGATAAAAGCCATATTTTCCACGCGAAGGCAACTTTTACTTTGTGTAGCGCGGCGCCATGTTTGTTTTGTTTTCAAGCAATCTGTGACCGTTACTTCTTTTAAACTAAATTGCTTTAAACTGATTGGTTGATTTAATCATCACAATGTTTTTCCACCAATCAGATAAGTTTGTTACAGATTTTTGCACTGTGATTACAGAAAATTGCACTATGATTACAAAAAATTGCACTGTGATTACAGAAAATTGCACTGTGATTACAGAAAATTGCACTGCTGTTTGGGATTAACTGCACTGAAATCAACCAATCACAGTCGAGTAATATCTTTATGTATATTATTATGATAGGAATACATGGATTTCCAACGTATATAAGGGAGTGTTCATTATTTATACCCGGGGTTGGTACCGAAGAGAAACTAATCGAAAAGAGAAAAAAACAACCACCCACCATTTCCATCAACCATTTTTTCCCCTACCCAACTATTGCATGACTTGGATTTTTATCTTACCCAACCCAATTTCAAAATTATACAAGTATTTTACATATATACATACAAGCTAGGCCACTATAGTATAAACAGTACTGTGCATATTTGGTGCGCTAACTGAATGTCAAATATAATCATTTGTACCTTCACAATTTGTACCTTCATATTATGTTCCCAAGCCTCCAAGTTCCTGCAGTCCTACCATATCTCGTTGTTGTAATCAGAGGGGATGGGGAGTTGGAATTTAGTTTTCTTTGTTGGGAATGAATGGATATTTCCTGGAATGACCCATTTTGTTAAATAAATCATTTTCATATTTTGTTCAATTGAAGGTTTGTATTGAAAATAATTTACCTAACCATGGGCTTTGTTCAAAAAATATTTACCCAACCCTTATACCCCAGAAAATGGCTATACCCAACCCATTTCTCTTCGGTACCAACCCCGGGTATAAATAATGAACACTCCCTAACGAGTCAATCTTATGATTATTTCACTTTATACTTAACTTCCCAAGAGGCTGCGGCATCTCCTCCAAAACTTTTTTCACCAGCTTTCACGATGGTTATGGTAGGTGCCTTGTACTCACAATTCAAGTGGAATATTCTACTAGTCAACCCACACTTGTGGAACGATAACAGACTTTCCAGTATTCGCCCCCTCCGAAACTGAAAATCCGCGAACATTTAGAACCATAACCTGAAGTGTAATTCTGTACGTTGTCTAACATCGCCATCAAATTTTCATTATCCAATGCAGACAATTAAAACAATGTGAAAAGCAATTATTCAAAATAAACTAACCATTTACAAAGCAAATTTACCATCATTCGTCCAAAAAATTATAAAAAGTCGCTGTTATGTGGACTTATCGCACAGACTTTAGCTGAAATGCCACCCAAAAATGGCGGCGCGAGAAAGGCTAATTAAACACGAATTGACTATTTCCTGAAACTTAGGTTCGCCCATTGAGATAATAGATATAGAATGCGTACATTTGATCACAAATTACCTGTATGTCTCCACTTTTTTACAAGCGTGCCCTTATAAATCCGCCATATTGAATTTGACTAGGAGTGAAAACGACAAAGTATGAACAAAGTTAAGACTAAATTTTCATCGTCGAAAAGTTCAGTCTTACTGTCCAATTTGCAGTTTGAGGATATATGTAGACTTTGAAATATTATATTAAGTTGAAATATTTTTAGAACATGTGTATTTTTAGAACATAAGACGACTTCTGTATATAATACAGTATTCTGTTCAGAACGTTTGCTTTTCGTAAAAGAAACACTGCAATGGGTTTTTCAAAAGTTTAGAAAACTTTTCCATTTTAAGTCTCGATATAAAATCTTTTTTGCAAACTTTGTTGCAAAAACATTCACACTCCTCGTAGCCGCGCGAAATTCCTTGCCACAGGATTTTGAGACGAGCAAAAATGCCCTTAACATTTCATCCTCGTCCCGAGGGCCTCTCGGCCGCGCGCGTCCTCCCTAGGCCCTGGGACATACGGAACCGGAAGTGCAAGAAAACTTGCAGTAGTTTCTAAAGCGCATGCTCTTCAATTGGGACACTTTGGCACCCGTAACAATTTTCAAAGTGAAGTATTACGAAGAAACGAAGTATTACGAAGAAACGAAGTATTACGAAGAAACGAAGTATTTGCGTTGACATATGTTGATAGAATAATTTTTCCTGCGAAAATTGCTCAACTTCTGCGAAATAGCAGTTCTCTGAGAAGCCAATCAGATCTCTCCCTTTAGTCGTCTAACCCAGAGCCTAATTTTCAACGAGTGACCGAGTGAAAATGGCTCTGGGGACGAGAATGTTAACATTCTGGCAATTTGTTGGTTGTCTTAACCAATTGTTTTTACAGTGAGAATAAAGGCTTATTTTTGCCAGAGCAAAGTACACAGCTAGTGCTTCGTTCACTTCGACATCGCCGTCGTCCAGCCAACCTGAACCCCGCGTGCGAACGATTATGCATGAGCGCTGCGCGAATAGTGCTATACTAGGCGTGCGTTCTTACCTCCTGGGTGTCATAACCAACAATTCTGCATCTATGTCGTGTGCCGGGCAATTGTTCACGCCTGTCAATCTTGCGTTCGATATTTTGCCAGAGCAAAGTAGACAGTGCTTCGTTCACTTCGACATCGCCGTCGTCTAGCCAACCTCGCGTGCGAACGATCGTAACTCCGCCGAAACCATCTCCATCCCCGATGGGCTGCGATGGGAAACGATGTCTCCGGACGCAAGTTGTGCCTTAAAAAAAAAGGTGCCATATTAGGTATTAAAATAATTAATGCACTGTGTTGCTGCAAGATATGGATCGATCTGCTGGTCGGTTAGCCTACGGTGTAGACCCCAGCAGAAACACGTTTCGTGAGGGGTCTACGAATAAACGAAGAAAAGCTTGCCCGGCCTACGTCATATCCGTTTTGCGTTTTGGGTAAATTAGCTTCAATTTATTCAAATTTATGACTTTGTGCAATAGAAATGTGTTCTTTGCTTCAACGTCCCGTTGAATGCGATATTGATTTCTTGGACAGCAAGGAGAACACACGTAAGGAGTTAGACGACCTTTCCTTCTCCATTTTACCTGCAAATAGCATTTGTAAAGCCTGTCTGGCGTTGGTAAACAAACGGGTCGAGAAGCTTCGAAGAACGGTTATGTGAGCTAGACAATACGACAACGAACGTACGAAACAGCATTAAACGCTATTGGTATACCGCTTAAAGTATTAAAGTAAAGCGAAATTTCGTGAGGAAACTGGGATTCGAGCCGACTTGCGCTAAAACTTTTATGCCTGCTACTTTTAGCGTGAAATCAACGTTGTCTTCGACTGCAGAAATTGGATGTCTACGAATGACAAGAACTTTTTAGTCCGTTCGGACATGTGTTTAATGGTTAGGTATATATATAGCCACGGCCCAGGGTATATTTTATTGCACAAAGCCCGCCATTAGTGAAACATTTTAATAAGCGCCAAATGAAAATTTACATTTACGCACGCTTGACGCTTCAGAAATTTGAATAAATTGAAGTTAATTTACCCCAAACGTAAAACGGATATGACGTAGGCCGGGCAAGCTTTTATTCGTTTCTTCGTAGACCCCTCACGAAACGTGTTTCTGCTGGGGTCTACACCGTAGGCCACTGGTCGGTCCAAGTTGAAAAAATTACAAAAAAAGTTAACTCAGGACTCAGCATTATTAGAAGACTGCGGGATATTGTTGATTATAATACTTTAATAACTGTTTATAAATCAATAATCCAACCACACTTTGATTATTGCTCGCAAGTTTGGGTTGCCTAGAAAAGGTTTTTATCGAATAAACTTCAGCGTCTCCAAAATAGAGCGTTTCGTATTATTACCCGTGAAGGATATGAAACGCGATCAAAAGATATTCTAATCAAGGCAGGATTTTCAGATCTGGAAACAAGAAGGGAACAACAACTTGCTACATTAATGTATAAGATTAAACATAAAATGCTTCCAAACTACAGTACCTGCAGGATATTTTCATCAATACACAAGAAGTCCATAATCATAACACTAAGCATAGAGAATTTAATTATACATTATACATTATACCAACGCCAAATACTAATGCTATGAAAAAATCATTGGGCTACAGAGGTACAGAGACTTGGAATGCTCTCCCAATTGACCTGAAGTCGCTAGGAAGTGTAGCAACTTTTAAGAGTGGGGTAAAACAATGTAGATTGATATAATGTTAAGTCATAAAATTCTTTTATATTTATAGTAGTTAGCACACGGTCTATTGGAAGATCACTTTTTCTGGTTGTTTTTGTAAATAATATATTTTAATATACATGTACTGTGAAATAGTACCGTGTTTAAATAAAGTTGAAGATCTTAAATGTACGTGAAAACTTACTTGTGCATCTGTGCCTGAGCTGCGAGGATGGAATGCGGTAGTCGGTCGCCATTATCGACAAGTTGCCTGGACAAACACGATGTCTTTCACTCCGCCGGGACGAGACGCTGCCGCATAGCCGATGTCGAGCAATTCCAAGCATGGCGTGCGAAAAACGCTCTAAAGCAGCAAGACGTCGTTTGCCAGCGAAGTACCGAAACGCCGGTTCCATTCCTGGTCTTCGCGGTGTGCTCCCCTCTTCTCTGCTATCCACCTGGACACGTGGAGACGCCTCTGGTGGGCAATATGGTGACACTGCTGGGCGAGGTTCAGGTGGATAAGGAAGGATTGGGAACTTGGATTGAGGGCGGCCATTTCCGACATGGACCAGAGGTGCCTGACGAGATCTTGTTCAAGGCCTTCGGCGCGAAGCCTCGCAGTGCCTCGGAAGGTCGTCTCCAATTGGATGGGGGTTTTCTAAAGAACGAGGCAATTCATTGCTATAAACACAAAAGCAATTGTCAAATTGAGCCAATGAAAATCACTCTTCCGAGCTACTGCGAGGCTACCCTGGTAGAAATCTTATTTAAGATCCTACAAGATCCTATAAGATCCTATAAGATCTTACAGGATCCTATTTAGGAACAAGATCTTATTTAAGATCCTATTTAAGATCTTATTTAAGATCTTTTCTTATTTAGGATCCTAAAATTTCTTAAAAGATATAATCAAGATCTTAAAATTTTCTTAAAAGATATAATCATGATCCAAAACTGATTGTAATGGACTCTAATCAGGATCCTAACGTTTTGTTAGATGATTTAATCAGGGTCCTTGAGTTTTCTTATACGATTTTATCTGGATCTTAAAGTTTTCTTATAAGATTTAGTCAGGATCCTAAAGTTTTCTTATAAGATTTAATCAGGATCCTAAAGTTTTCTTACACGATTTAATCAGGATCTAAAAGGTTTTTACAAGATTTAATCAGGATCTTGAAGGTTTCTTACAGGATTTAACCAGGTTCTTAAGGGTTTCTTACAAAATTCAATCAGAATCCTAAAGGTTTCTTATAAGATTTAATCAGGATCTTAAAGTTTTCTTATAAGATTTTATCAGGATCTTGAAGTTTGCTTATAAGATTTAATCAGGATCCTAAAGTTTTGTTATAAGATTT